ATTTAATTTATTAATTATTTAATTAAATTTATTTTTGTGATATTAACTTTAAAATTAATGTCTTTTTATATTTTTTTATACAAATTTACTAAAAATAATGTCCTTAATATGTGCTATAAAAACATAAATTAAAAAAATCCTTTAAAACAATATCTAAAAAGGAATTCTCTTTAGAGTATTGAATGTACAGAGAGAATATCAATTATCTTTTGGAGATGGTGGATAAGGGCTATTTATTGTCAAGAAGTTAAGAGTCGAGGCTTACTTGCTTGAATTTTAATTGTTTAAATATAATTTATTTAAAGATTTTTTATTTTTTATTTTTTAGAGTATAAGTTAAAAGTATAATAAATATGTTATTTTATAATTAATTTACATAACAATAATAAAAATTAACTTAAATTTAATTAATTAATTAATTAAAATTATTCACATGATAATAATATTAAAATAAAATTAATTTTTCATATAAATTAATTATAAAAAATATATTTATTCGACCTTTAAATAGACAAATCCTTCATTCAAAGGCAAGATTCCTTCTGGGCTTTAAAGATTGAGTTTTCGTAAGCATTTAAAACTTAATTGAGGCGTTCGGTTATTGCCCAACATTATCATTTCCACTTTTGCTTTATTTTTAGCAAAATTTTCTGAACTTCTTCAATATCAACTCAACAAAGTGTGCTATAAAAATTTACCATTTTCCAACCTTTTGAACTTTCATAGGTAACTAACTACTTTCCTTCACAAAAATATCTCTGGAGAAAGTTGCCCCACATAAGTATGCCCTACTTTCCAAATTCTGCCTTGTGTCCACTCATATCGTTTTCCTCTCCTTTTCTTTTTTGTAAGTTCTCCTTTCCATTTTGATATTTCTGTAGTTCCACAATCATGATTGTTACTATTTTCAGCAAAATTATATATTTCCAGGCGGCACCTGCGCCAGTACATTTCATCTTATGCTGTCGATTCAATCACAGATGAATACTTAATGTTTCCATCAATAAGATTGCCTATGGAGAAGGAAAGTTTAATTCTGGAAGATGATCATAGTATATTACAAATCAAAGAAAGAAAAACAGCTTAAGAAAGAAAATGCTAAACAGTCAAAGGGTGATCATCAAAATCATAAACGGCGGATCGAGGAAAAAGAAAAAGAAAAAGAAAAAGTAAAGAAAAAAAACAATTCACTTCCCTTCTGAGGAACTGTAAAACTATCATCTCTCCGTTTACACCCATTCAAATCCATCACACAATCCATTTTAAGGAACACACAAATGAATTTGAAGGGAGAAAGTGGGGGAACCCAGGTTGCTAAACCTTCCGATAATCACGCTCCGGAAATGGTGAAAAGGGTCAGAAATCTGTACCAAAAAAAGGGACTTGCATTTCATCTTTCGATGATTCATAAAGATGTTTTTCTCTACTTAGATGTTTGGGTAGAAGAGGGTTCAAGAAAGTCCTCCACGTGCCACCCTGGTATGGTCTCCATCAAGTACTTCGAGAAACTGCTTGTTGAAACTGAAGCAGTGTCGCTCGTGTAATTCTTGTCGATTCTGTAATTTGCTGGGGCCAAAACCGTCTCCATTGAAGCAGAACTGAAGGCTTCGGTGGAAACCGAACGGGGTCTCTTCATAGATGAAAGGGCGTTCGTTACTTCGGCATCGTACCCGGTATTGGACGATGACGAAGGTGGGTACGAGGAAGATAAAGCGGAGAGCTTCACTCCGCTGAGAAGAAACCGATTGTGTTTCTGGGTATGTTCGTTTGCTCTGTGAATCAGAAGGTCGCATTCTCTGCACAGAATCGCTCTATCCTCCTGACAAAACAGAAACGCTCGTCTCTCCTGTAGATTCAAGCGCAGTCAGAAACGAAATTCAACTTCTCATATTCTGTAAATTGAGAAAACGAAGGTTTTCACTTCTTACCTGACAAATATCACAAAGAGGGGATTCTTTGCATGTGGGGTGGAGGAGAGAGAACCGGATGTGTTTTCCGGCTAGCTTGTTTGCGTAATGGACGTGACGATCACAGGAGTGGCAGAGAGCAGCCTCATCAGCGGAGCAGAAAACGGAGGCCTCCTCTTTGCCACAGACATCACACCATATCTTCATTGTCAACGGTACAATTCTCTGTTTTTGCCCTAATTTTGAGTGGTACAAAATACAGATTGGTACAAAGAGGGACAGGAAACGGATTGTTGTTGGGAATAAAGACAATGTATCATGCTGCGAATGGGCAAACACATACAGAAACAGCTAACTTCAGGGTCTCTAGGGCGTGTTTGGATGG